AAAAAGTATAATATACAAACAAGCTTCAGTTTTAAGCAATACGTTATACGCATACAAATTAAGCTACGATAATTACAAAAATGACTTGTAATATATTAATAGAAATAAAATTATCTCAATCTAGCACAACTCGACAGCTCGTATAAAGGAGCACAGCAGTGTCTCGAGCTATATCTTAGCTGAAATAATATCGTATCCTTTGGTTTTTCCAGATATCTCTATAATCTTTTGTGAATTTAAAACATCAGAGTCGGTAGAAAGCCAATGATCAGATTTTACAAAAAATCTCTTTAGCAGTTGAATAGCACGAAATTCTTTATTTTTGAATATATTTTATTATGTTTTTACTTAAACGCTCCAAAATATTATTGTGTTTATATTGATATTACTTGGTATACAAAGAGAATTTTCTACTCTAAAATTATATTCAAAATTCATAACTTACATTGCAAAATGTAGCCATCGTTAAAGGAAATAGTTTACCAAAATTAAGATAAAGAGGTTTACTGGTTCTTAACATTAAAAGAACTAAGTCCCGAGTATTTCTTGCATTCAAAATATACCATTCATTGAAATATACAGCATAGTGAATTTTGGCACTTAAAATTATAAAAAATACATATATGAATATTTATGAACTATTAATATGAACTATTAAATATATGAACTATTAAAATAGCGTGCTATAATAATGTACATATATAAAAATTTACATTTGTGTATTTTTGTATATTAACTAATTAAACTTTGGCTATTAAGAGTACAATTGCAGCTTAAGACTTTTATGTATGTATTATTATCACACATATATAATATATACTTGTCAGTGTAAGTTTCATTTGATACATATTAAATGTACGTTAAAGATAAATTATCTCAGATTTGCCAAGCCTGTACGTTTAAATAAATAAATTATCTTTGATTGCCAAGCCTATATAGAAACAAATTTTGAACAGAGTCTACTATATGATTTCTGATGCCAGAAAGGCAAATTTTAAGCAGAAACTGTTTTGTAAATAAAATGTTAAGAAAATGTCGGCAGAATGACAATAGATTTGATCGGATTGATTTTTTTATTAGCAGATTAATCTCAACTGATTTTGCTATCTGATTTCGTTCTGACGACAGCACATGAGTTGACATTCTTGTTGACCAAACTGATTCGAAGTCTTTATAGATATCCGAAAAATATCTAAAAATGTCTCGTTTTTATCGCTGTATTTTGAACGTCTAAAATACGTCCCAAAACGTTATTTGAATATCCTCTAATAAATAGTTATTTATACAGACATTTTATGTTGAAGGAACATACTATATATTATCAAATTAACAGAATATAGTGTCAAATTTAACTATCATTTTAGTATAAAATTACAATATACTTAGTAGAAGCAGTGGTGACTTAAATTAAATTAAATTTTCCACTGTAGACTTAACAGAGCATGTATTTATTTGTATATTTAAGCTTTGATATGTAAAATATATTTAATTTATTAATGAGGTTATTCAAATTATTTCTTCAAAATAGAAAAAATTTAAGTAATAGAAATTTGCTTTTTGTGTATAATACTATTATACTATATTTCTCATTTTATAATACATCTATTATAATATGCAATTGTGCATGGAAAAATAATTGGTAGGAAATAAAGAATTTTTTTTTCAGTTAAATACCTGAGTTGTTAATATTTCACCAACAGCACAGTACATGCACATATGACCAAATATGTCCAGAACGACGATAAAATATATCAGATTTGAGAATGTTAAGAGCTGTCTACTTTTGAGCATCTAGTTAATTAGTTAAAATATGTGTTATAAAAGATGTGAAAATATGTTATTTTTAATATTATTTCATATTTTATGTTATTAAAAGTACATTACATATATCATGATATTTAACATATATTATGATTACATTACAGTTATTATTAAAAATATACAAGTATAAGACATGTTTTAGAAGATTTTTATTAATTGATCAATTAAAGGATGCTTCAAAATATTTATACTATTACAGGTGAGTCGTAGTCATAATAATATGTTAATATTACTAATAATAAGACATCTTTGCAAAATGTTAAATTTTGATTTTAATAAAACATTAATTTACGTAGATTACGTAAATAAATAAATTTAAAAAATACGAGTTGTTGTGAAAAAACAATTTTAAGAAATACAAATGATCTTTTTAAGTGAAGTGGCTTTATTTTTTTTATTATATCTAAAAAATTATTTAATATATTATAAAATATTTTATACAAAAATATTTTATAATATAATGAAATTATTTTTGTTTATCCATAGGAATCACATTTAGATTATCAATAGGAATCATAAAAAATAATTTTGGAAGTATGAATTTTTAAAATATTTATTTAAAAAATATTTATTAAAAAAATATTATTAACGTAAACGAATAGAGGTAATTTTATTATGAAACATTATTATAAAATATTTTCATACATTTTCAATATTTTTCGAATATAATAAAAAAATGATTTACGTATATAAGAATTTTTATTGTTTTAAGAGTTTCAGTTGTTTATTGTTCTATGTTCGGATAAACTATATGATGATATATTTACTTGCTGGATAAACAGTAGAATAAAAAAGTAAGAACATAAGAAGGTAAGAGAGTAAGACAGACAGTTGAAGTTTACCGAAAAATGGAATAAATTTCAGTCTCAGGCTTTAGCCTTACATACAAGAACTTAGACTATAAAGATTTAGACGTAAGTAAGGAAATCAACATGTTGGATTTGCTACTGCTTAGTCCGTATTTACAATAAGTGTTTTAAATCTTAAATCGTGAGAAATTGACCAATTAATCGAATGAGAGTAGAATAATTGATGATTTATCCATTTCTTATGCATTAAGGCTTAAAAACCTATTGTAATTATGTTAGGCTCTTGTGTTACGATCTTACGGTCTCTATTGTAATTGATCGATTTGCTTACTTTTATATGCTATGACTTTAAGGGGATTCTAAAATTGTCTATATTATCGACTAAATTATATAATTTTTATATAACAAATACTTTTTTCTCTTTTACAGATTCGGAAATCTTTTTCCGGGATTAAAATATACGTATTAATACGTATCTGTAAGGTGGAGTTTATGCCGAAAATGACCAAAAATTTTGAAATTGATATATTTTTTACCATTTTTTAGTACATAACATATAACATAGTATCTCAAGCCGTGAAGTTGAGACAACATTTATTTGATATGAAAGTTTTGCAACCTGTACTTCGAAATAATAATCCACAGACACGTAATTTGCACGAATAAATAACGTCGAGTTTTCAGAATTAGGCTTACACTTTCTCATCACTTTGTTATACGAAAATTGATACAAACGTGCGAAACTGTGTATCATAAGTTGTGTGAGATATTGGTGTGTAGTATTAGTATATAAAGATATGTCGATGCGCGCTGGAAAAACAGCGACTTCTGGTAACTTTATCAGAGTTCGGGCTTCACTTTAGGATTCTCTTGAAACTTCTTTTGTTTCATCTAATATTAATTGACTTTATCTATTTGCTTAACCTATGTATAAATATTTCATTAAAATCAAAAGTTTTTCTAAGGCGATTTTCTTGTAAGAATTATTATAAGCTATGTATATATCAATATAGCTTATATAATTGTATCTATTATGTGAATATTAAATATGAAATTCTTTCGTTTGCATTATTATAGTTATTTCAATTCTAAAATTTTCTTAAATATATAATAAAAGAAAATTTTAGAAATGTCACAACTTTGAAATTGTTAATAAAATACATATAAAAGGTGTAAATGTAAGTTGTGATTACAGTTGGAACATAAATAAATATGACATTATTTTTATATGAAAACTGTATGTATATGAAAACTATTTATAAAACAGTAAATTGTATAACAAAAATTCTTGTAAAATTAATTACATTTATTGTCCAAAATCCATAGAAAGCGAAGAGTATACCAAAAAATAGAAATATTATCAGCAATATTATACTGAATATATCTTCCACATGATTAATAGCTCTATAAAATGTCATTTTATATAACACTTTATACTAAAGAAGATATCTATCATGTTTACATATATCTATAAAAAGATATTTTATATTTTGTTATACAACATGCTTTACTATTTCTCTACACTTATGTATCACGAAATAGTCACTAAGTCTTTTGCACGTCCTACAGTAATCATTTTATGTAGATTATAATTTATGATGGTGCTACTTAACACATCAATAACAAATCAATTCAACTTACAATAATTTCATTAATATTAACATAACAGTAAGAAACTATAACCGTAACATTATACATAATATAAGATAAAGGCACAACAGAGAGTAATTGGGGAAAAATTACCCCCACTCCTATTTTTTCTGACTTCTGCGGCGTAAATCCCAGAGCGGCGTATTTGCCGGAATTACATATTCCTATACAGTCGAATCTGGATTATCTGATAGTATTTTTTTCATTTTCAAGATTATTTATCTTATTATCGACCTTATTATCGGGTCAACGTTCTGATCAAGGTAATATTATGTTAAAAAAAAAATCGCGCGTAATGTTATCGTCAGAGACCTTGATAACGTGATCGCATAATCCGAGAGATGAAAAAGCTTTGTTAGATAATCCGGAGTCTATTTTACACAGGAATATTTAGGACAAAATATACCTTAACAGCCTTATATGTTCCATTATACAATTCTTTAAAACGTTGTTAAAATTGGCGACAGCATGTAAATGCAAGAGACGATTTCTCAGAATATCCAATTGACCAGAAATATGAAGTACTGAAAGACTAAGAAAACTGTCTATGCCTGTATAACACATGATACAGAGTAATGAAGCAATACTTTGAACAGCATATGTCATTTCATATTGTGGACTTCTTGTTGTATCGTAGATGTAATATGTCTGAATTGGGAGTGGTCTCTCCAAATCTGCAGTAATATTAGACAAATGTCTCACTGAGTAACCAAATATGGGTAAAACAGCCATAACAGTAATGGCCGCTGCCATCATGCCATATCCAAATGTAATAATAATACGTGCAATTTGAGCTTTTGTTATCATCATTGCTTTTTCTTGAGATGTTGTTGTTTTTGTCCAATCGTTGGCAATTAATTGTATTATCGGTGCGACAGCTTCAAGAAAACAAAAGTAAAGATATCAATAACAATATAAAACAGATGTTAATTATTGATATTAAGAAGTTTATTATAAATGAAAACAAATTTTAATATAATTAATAAAAATTTACTTCTGATTAAATTTAGTTTCAATTAAATATTAAAAAATTGCGGAAATATATTAATAACCTTTAGGATCATAACATTTTTTTGAAAATTAATTGAAATCAGAATAAGAATCTTATAGATATCGAATCACTGAATTAAAATTTTTAAGACGATGCTGGAGTGACGGCCGAATTTGATGTCTATAGTGTAGACTTTTTTAATTTTGAATGAAAAATATTGATAACAGTGACATCTTTAATTCATTTTTTACATTATCGTTTTGTCTCATTCAAAGTTATTTATGTGTCTTTATTTAGCATTAGGCCTATTCTTTTTGGTTGAAATTTTATATCAGTTCATCTTTTATTCTTTTTTCTCCAAGAGGAAAGAAGAGGAAAAATGATGAACTAGTGTTTAGCCAAAAGCCTATTTTATAATGGGCATCTTTTCAAGTTCAAGCACATTGCAAGACACAATTATTACTTTGGTTACTATTTTGAGTCTTTGCATACGTATCTACGTGTACTTACAGTGTAATTTACAGATTAATATATCTTTTTCTTTTTAAGCTTTTAAGGGAGTATTCTAGTTTGTCAAAAAAAATCGATTTTTTTTATTGTATTTTCGGAAAGTTGATAGTTTTGAAAATATATTACCAAAGCCATTAGCTAATTAGGCTGAGATAGCTGTAGCTTATTAATTTACAATTAATCTATTTGTAAATCGTAGTTGAAACTTTAAATGCATTTTTCTCAAAACAGCATTTTTCAATCGCGTTGACATAATATTTTGGGAACTAAGCGTCCGATCGACTTGAATTTTTGCGTGTTCATTTAATACATGTTCTTTTATTATTGGAATTATGGAATTTAATTTATGATTATTTCATTTTATTATATAAAAAAAAACAAAACAAATTTATAGGTGAAAATCAATATCATTTTTCAAAACATTACCATTTCAACAATTTTCAATTTTTTTCTTATATTCCAATTCCAGTAATAGCGTAACTCTTACAATTTAATAATTTCTTTGATTTTTTTGGTTTCAGGTTACTAAAACTAACGAAATGGTGTCACGCGTCAAAAAGAAATTTTTTCATACATCTTGCGTATCATCGCGTATTTTTTTTGTGATACATATCGACGAAAAAATAATTTTTAAATATCCATTTTGTACAAATAAAGTTTCAAAAAGTTTCATATTAATTCATTTCTTTTAAAAAAATTCCTGAATGATTATGTAATTTTTACCTTATAAAGTAGAATAACCCCTTAATCTTAATTTTACAAATTCAGTATTATTCGAACCCCGATGGATGGATCGTTTTGTCTATAAGTTATAAAACTTTTGTATGTACAATATATTAAAGAAACATCTACGTGACAGCTCTACGAAACTAAAAATGAGCAAGGTTTAAACTTTTTTTCAATTTTTTAAAGGTTCACTACATCATCTCCTAATTTTTCTACTTTAATTCTGTAAAAAGATTTTTGATATACAAGTAATATAAATGTTTCGATAGTTTGGTCGTCTTCAGCATCTCTTTAGCTCCTAAGTATAGCTCTCCTCAGCTATACTTTATATTGATTGGGTCTTAAGCGAGAAATGACTCGTTTTTCTTGCATGCTTTGTATATAATGATAATTTAGATAAAATAGAAGATATAATGAAGAGATAATGAAATCGCTACAAAGCTTGCAAAATGGGCCGAGACTATTCTTTCTGATCCCTCTGATAGTCAGTAAATGATCGAGAAAATATTCGTGAAGCGAAAGTAAGTTTTTCGTTGCTCATTGAGTAAGAACAAACAAATACATTTTACATATCTTTTGCGATTATTTACTATTTACTAATCAAGGGGAATAATGAGCATCTTCCTTTTTTATAAGTGTTTTGCAATGATATCATTATTCTGTTTTAATCAAATTGTCTTTACTTATAAATAGCGTGCAAGAAAAATCAATATGTACACACTTACAACACATTTCTCGCTTATAACGTCATGATTCAATATAGCTGAAGGGTACACAGGAATCTCAAATTGTTTTATTTTTTTTAGGTAATCAAGAAAATAGTGGCATATTTTCAAAACGTTGCATTTGTTTTTTTCAATTTGTTTTTTTTAATTTTTATAGATTTTCCGCTATTTTCCTTAAAAAATTAAAAATAATAGTGAGCAAATTTAATTTTACTAATTCGAATTCAATGATCAACAATTTTATTTCCAGTTAATTAAAAAAAAATTTTTTAGTTATATGTGATTAGTCCGCAATTGTAACAGTAATTCTATATATACGCAACAAATGTAATATATAAATAATATATAACTATTGCACATAAATCAATTGCAGTACATGAACTTAAATTTTTTAATTTCTCTAAAATTCAATATAAATAATTTTTAATTTCATTAAAGAATTGTACAAAGAAATGAGATTAGTTCTGCTGATATATAAAACGTATATTGTAAACGTATATTGTAAATATTTTATATCGCGTAACGATCAAATCGCTACTTTATTTACCTTTTTTCTTCCACCAAAAAATTATAAGTCTTAAAACGCAAGTAATAATTGGTAAAGTACTCATCAAATTATCTGTCACAAGTAAAATATCAAAATGGATTCTTATCAGAGAATGTAGAGCAGGAATCATAAGAACAAATATTATAAATAAGAAAGTGAGAAGTACACGTAAATTGCATAAACACTTTTCCCATGTAGTTTGTTCGAACCTCGGCCAAAGTCCGATTAATTCTAGACTAAATCGATTTAACTTTACTGCCCATTCGAAATCTGTTTCAAAAAAGATTTGATATATCATATATTCCACTTTGGACGAAATATATTTTATCTGACCTTTTTTTGATAATGATTCATAACCATATTTACTATGATTGCGATATGCAAGATATTTTGCTTCCATGTTGAACGTAAGAGATGAACTGACAACTCTGTTTCTTTTACAGCGTCTATACAGGGATGATATTTCATGTACATAATAAAAATCTCTAAAAACGAGATGTTTAGTGGCAGAAGGTTTAAAAAATTCTACATGTCCCTTCTTGTTGTGCAACTGCGGATAATTATTAGTACAACAACGATAACGTATTTTATGAATAATAACTGAAGTAATGACTGGTTGAAATAAGTACTTGGTCAGGCGGCAGGTTATGTAGCAGTCATGTTTTTACGCAGTTATAATCGATTTTGAGCCGTCTATAGTCTGAACTATAGTCATTTTATAAAACTAGTTGTGAGTGATATTACTTTTCTTGTAAAAATTGGATATAGTAAATAGATATTTTTATTTTATGATATTGGGCCTTTTTTATTCTTTCATATACTTACATTTCGAATGTAGATATTTTTCACAGCAGATCCTCCTGTATACTTGTATCATGAAATTTTATTACCATAGAGTTTAATATTATTTCATAGCTTCTTGTAATTTGTTTATTATCCACTGATATCTTTCTCTTTATAGAACGATTAACTTTCATTTAACCGATTCATGCATGTGTGCATAATAAAAGTTTTTTAAAGTAATAGATGATTATTGCACAAAGAGGGTGGACTTAAAAAATTTTAAATCCTTCGTGTTATAGAAGTTTGTGTTATAGAAGTTTCGTGTGCAACATTCGAAGCAGATAAAAACTGGTATAACAACGAGGGATTGTTAAATACCTGTTTACAACATGTTTTTCTCTCCCTTAAGTTCTCACGAACTTGTAATCGATTTCGAGTGTGTGATTCAAATTACATTTTTTTGTTTTTGTGTTGCAGTGAGCAGTAATATGAATATAATATTGCTTTTTTATGACAATTAAAGTGTTTGTTCGATCTATTTATAATTGCAGTATTGGAATAAATATAATATTATGATATTTTCTAGATTGTAGAGAATATAATTGACAGTTATTATTTTCCTATTTTTATGTTTAATGAACAAATAATGAGAATTGATTAATTTTTTCTAAATTATTATATTTAGAATAGAGGAATGTTTATTTGCCGTAATTAATTTGATTTTATCAATAGAAAATTTTTGTGAATGTATAGAATATCTAACTTTACTTTATGCAAATGTTTCTTTAATAAAATCTTTCTTCAAAATTATTTTTAAACATACAGGGTAGAAAACATAAAATAAATCATCAGAATATGTTGAAATTTACACCCAATGCAAAATTGTTTTAAATAAAAATTGTATGATTTGAAGAGCGACAAATAAAATTAATTTTCAAAAAGACATTCTTTTATATGAAGCTTATGGCTACTTTTAAAATGAAATTATAGAACTTATTTTACATATAATAATATGACTCTCCTAATTATTTTGCATATAATAGTAGTAAAACGAAGTTTTAAAAAATTAATAATTTGTGAGATTTAATAATTTTATACTTTATTTAAGCATATTTTGGTATAAAATATAAATTTTTTGTAAATTTGTTTCTTTTTTTTAATAAATCTACCTGAATGTTTTTATCAATAGAACAGTCAGATAAATCAATAATATAAAGAAAATATATATATATATTATTGCTTTAAAAAGAAATTGTGCAATTTGCAATATACAACTATGTATATTTTTCAAAATACATATTTTCTGTGCATCATCAATTGATTCATCTCATTATTCTATATAAAATAAAATATTTAGATTTAATTAACAAGAAATGAATGATAAAATTTTTATTAAGTTTGCAAGATATTTTATGTTCATATCAAATGCTAGTGCTCACAATTTTTATTTTTGTGATATCAAATTAAATAT